ACACAACAACCCGTATCATACACACAACAACCCGTATCATACACACAACAACCCGTATCATACACACAGATCTTGTCGTACATGCACACGCATTCCATATCACATAGAAACACACGTCCTAAAGCACACATTCCAAAGCGCACGCGAAACCACATTCCAAAGCATTTGTAAACATACATATCGCAGGACACAAATATCAGTAATGAAGAACATACAATTTCATCTCAAAGAACACACGTAGTGCACCCCAAAGAACACACGTAGTGCACCCCAAAGAACACACGTAGTGCACCTCAAAGAACACACGTAGTGCACCCCAAAGAACACACGTAGTGCACCCCAAAGAACACATGCAGTGCACCCCAAAGAACACATGCAGTGCACCCCAAAGAACACATGCAGTGCACCCCAAAGAACACGTGTAGTGCACCCCAAAGAACACATGAAGTGCATCCCAAATAACGTATGTAGCCCTTACATCTCAAAGAACAAATGCACACCCTAACGAACACAACAGACATCCCACAGAACACATCACGGTCATCTCGAATACCGCACGCACATTCACACACGGAGCGGAGCAGAGGGCGCGCGGGCTGCGGCGGCGTCCCGCGCTGGGCGATGAGTAATGGGCCGGCGGCCGACCGGCTTCCCAGAGAAACCTCGGACCACGGGCCGCTTTTTCCACGACGCGACCTTCGAGTTTCGCAACATATAAGGCAGGCGGGTGAACTCCACTGGCGTGCGGCGGACTCGCGACACTCGCGGACACTTCTGAACGCGGCGGAGGTTGCGGCTGAACTGCCGGGGAACCTCAACGGCGGGCGGGGCGATGTTACGAGCAGGAACGATAGATCGGCTAGGGGTTTAGACACGGAGGTGTAGGGAGGAGGGTGGACGGGTGGATGGAAAGCAACATTTCAGAACGACAAAAAGCGGTGACTGACAGGAGAAAGCAGAGTATGTGAGTATCGGGGAGTGGGGGAGGAGTACGAGTAACGGGGAGGTGGCAGCGACAGCAAGTACCGCTTATACGGCCGTCATCTGGCGTAAGACGACGGTCGGATGGTTCACGGAGGAAGCGGAGCTTCGGAGCCGACGGCTGGGGTGCAGTGCTCAACACGGCGAGAGACGGCACACGACACGATGGACGCGGCAGAAAACTACGCAATCCACTGGAAGGCAGGGGACGGCGACGGCGGAAACGGACGCCGAGCGATGTCGAGACCTCACCGAAGACTGCGGGCAGCGTTGTGGGCGCGGGGCGGCGCGGCAGGTTGCGTCGTCTGCCGGCGCGGCGGCGGCGGCGGTGGCGGCGCGCGCGAGGGCGGAGTGGGCGGGGCACCGCCGCCGCCAAGGCTTTCTCCCGCGATGTGACGAACGCGACGCGCGCGACACGGGCTTTCTCGCGGGGGCGCCTGACGCGGGAGGGGGTGCGCTGGGGGAAGTCAGAAAAAGGGCGGAGGGGGAGGGGAGAGGCATGCTTCGGGGCGTTGAACCGCAGGCGTCGGAGATAAGACGCACGTGCCAGGGCTGATATTTCCGAGTTCTTGTGCTTTCCCATATGCGTATGTTGGCATTAAGCAAAACGAACGAATGGAAATGCCGAAGTTAGGCAATCGTCAATAGTTTATTTTCCTTCCACAAAATACGGAAATATCCGTTTAAGATGATTATTCTTAATTTTAATTCGGAGATGCATTGGTAATCGAAAACCGTACGTTTACTGCTTTGTGGAAGATATAAAAATGGTCTTTTAAATAAAACGTATTTTAACTTAACGGGTGACCTTCAAACCAGGCCTTCCGGTTCTGAAAAATTCCCCTGCTTCAGACTACAAAATATTTGAGTCAATGTAAAATAAAAGTAATAAAATGTAGGTTAACGCAAAACATTTACGAAGATGACGCGATCTCTAACTCGACGCCGTTCTTCCAAAGTGAAGAACGCATGGTACTACGAACTCGTAAATAAAAAAAGAATTATAGTCGTCGGCCAAATATGTGAATGACTCAACCAGACCCGCGCTGAAAATTACAAACTGCCTGAGGTTGATACCCGAAATAATTGGAGCAGAGGAGGCGGTGCGTGGGAAGACCGAGTTTCCTTAAAAGCGAGTAACTGTCAACACATCTCTTAAGAGGACGAGCTAAGGAAGATTGGACAGAATCCAGATCAGTTGCTGTACTGTTACACGGCATCCCAGCCCGGAAGACATTTATGGTAGGATGTGCATTAAAACACAACAACCCCGCCTCTGTTCGCTTCGATCACGTGCCTGAATTTAATCAGAAAAATATTAACCTACCTAAAAAGTCCCAGAAATTATCGTTTGCCAGTAAATGTTTCTATCATTTACACCACTTTCTGTCAATAATAATAATAATAATAATAATAATAATAATAATAATAATAATAATAATAATAAGCATTAAAAGGCTCTCTAGTCGGGAATAGTTATAACAGTGAAAAGAAATAGTAATGAGATATGCGTTTCTATTAAATTAAAGCGAGGCTACGACAGGAAGAAACTGATGTGCAATGGATCAAAATGTTCAAAAAACAGTTAACAAGGATTAATGATTAGCGGGCCATGAAGCTATATAAAATGATTTGTTCTAAGATTGAAAAAAAGATATATAGGGACTCTTATATTAAAATAGCCAGATTTCTCGACAAAACTCAATATTATTACTACCGTTTAATTTAAGTATGTCAAGAACCATCATTTTTACGTGAAGGACAAGAGGTTTGTGCGGCATACACTTCTGTCTGGTATCACACTCCACTTCTTTATTAGGAAACCACAATTCTCATTGCCTTGGATTCTTCGAAACCGCCAACTGTGCTTTCGACGAACGCCATAGGGAGAACACTGATGGCAGGAACAACTGAAGATGGAGGTGGATGTCGGTGACGTTGGCGGTGATGGTGGAGATGGGGTGAGACGGGTGACTGTGGCAGTGATTGTGGAGATAAGGGGGACGACGGTAATGGTGGCAGGGGCGCGTGCAGGTGAGGCTGGCGATGGTGACGAAGGCGGTAATGGTGGGAATGGTGATGCCTAGAAATAGTGGTAGAGGCGGCGATTATAAGAAAGAGGTGGTAGTGAAGATGGCGGTGACAGTGGCGGTGGCTGTGGAGGTGACGGTGGAGGTGTTGAAAGTAGTGGTGGTGGTGGTA